GTTGTGCTTGCCAGGCAGGCGCTGTGCCGCTGAGCTAAACCCCCAGTCCCATTCTATTTTTTTTTTTTTTTATCTACAGTGTTGTGAAATATCAGATTGAACTGTTCTGCTTATGACTAACATTTTTTTAAAAAAGCTGTAGTCAGGTGTGGCAATGCCATCCTGAAATACCAGCTAGGAAGAAAGCTTAGGAAGGAAGATCACAAGTTAAAAACCAGCCTGGGTGTCTTAGTAAGACCTTATCCTAAAATAAAATTTAAAAAGAACTGGGAGTGTAGCTCAGTGGCAAAGCACTTGCCTAGCATGAAGGAGACTCTGTGTCCAGTCTCTAGGACTAAAAAAAAAAAGCTGCATGACACCATCATCCCTGTCCTAACAACTCAAGAAAGGCAAGTAAATTATAAAATCATAGTTTTTAAAAATTCATCAAAAGTGAGGATAAAAAAACCTAAGCAAACTAAACTCCAACATGTTACTCCTTTGCAAGAGAAGTATCCCACGGTTACCTGTTCCCCTACAGAAGCATACAGAACACACACTGACAACAGAGACAAGGAGAAATGAGTCAAATCACTAAGGAATTCTCACGCTGCATGTAGGTGGGGTGATAGGTTAGAATTCAGAGGAGTTCGAGAGTCCTTTCCCCTGGTGCTTACCAAGTGCATGAGTGATATGCAAAAGACTGCACACGGACAGGAGCACTGAAAAGCCCCTCAGATCCATGGACACCCCCACCACCCCCAACCCTCAGGGCAGAACACTGCTCTGAAGATGGGAGACATTGCACTTGCTGCGAGAAACTGACTCCTCACAGAACTCAGGTGTCTGTGCTTTGAATGCTGGGGATGGAGGAGCTGGGCAAAGAACGGTTTCTACAGTGCAGTTGAGGAGCATAACAGGACCCAGCGCATGTCACATGGCTTTCTGAGATGCCTGACGCGTGCTACAGCTTCTTCAGGTGATGGCTGCATGTCAAAACCTTTTCAATGGCTACTTTAGAACTGCATATTTTAACAAACGCCTCAATTTAACAAAATACAAAACAAAAAAGTATCTGGCATGGATAACTGATCCTCTCAGTCACCTCCTCAGAGAAGACTGACAGCAGACTGGGAAGTCTGACCGCTCTGCAAGCTGGGTGCTGGAAACCAGCAGATCTTCGCAGTCCTCATTTACAGTGTGCAGCAGCTGCAGCTGCTCTCAGTGTGCTTCAGGGCCCTTCCAAACTGTTTTGCTTGCAGATGAAAGGGAAATGCCAAGTGAGAAATGTACGGCAAAAGTGGCCAAAGCAACACAGTGGTTCCAACAGTAAATGGAAATGCTGAAAATTCTCCCTGAAAGTCCGGCTTTTACTACTCTTTCCCTCTGAAACATACCCTTACCACAAGGAAGAAGCAGCTTGTCTTCATGCTAATGAAGCTGAAGGACAAAGCCCGTCCTTCCTCTGACAGGGTGCTCTCAGGGCCTTGAGAGAGGGAGGCTCGCTGGCCTGGGGGCTGCATGTCACTGTGACTGTGCTTTCTCTTATCTAATTATGGTTGAAAAGGAAAGAGGAAATTAAGTCATACGGACTGTGTGTCCTAGGTAAGGTTCAGGGTAGCAGAGCTGGCCTGGCCAAGGAAACGGAGGCTTCGGCAGCCCAGCGCAGTGGTAGTATTACAGACAGCTCAGTTAGGTAGAAATATCATAGGCAACTGTGGCTGGAGAGTATTCACTGAAGGCCAGGCTTCAAGAAAAAGAACTGCTCACCCATATACTTCCCCAGGGGATGAACAGCAGTGATTGATATTCTAAGTAGGCATCAACCATGTTGGGGTGGAGGACTAAACCTCCTTAATCCACCCCTTCAAGGAAAGTCCTTGTCTGCCCCTGGGCACTTGCTACATAACTGTTTCCCAATTTGATCCCCATTTAATCAATATTACCCAAGTGACTATACTGGTTGTAACCTTATTGGTTTACCATAGTTTTGTCCCACCTCACAGCCATCCTATGATTTGCCATTAGGTCAATATTACCTAAGTGACTATACTTGTAATCTTATTGATTGATTGTACTTCTGTCCCACCTTAAGCCTGCCTCCCCTTGGGGCTTTGCTCAATGAAACACCTTTGAGAGGCAGAGTTGATGGGCAACCCACTTTCTAGGCCCCCTTCTGTTCCTCTTAGACAGAAACTTTCTTTTTCTCATAAATTCTTCCTTATCTGAACCTCCATTGTTCCTAGAATTCATCCCCCAGTTTTAGAGAACACAAACTCGGTGTTTCAGAATCTAGCAGGTTGGGGATTTCATGCCTCTATATCAGTAGCTTCTTCTCTCCACTGAACTTTTGAGTTAAGCAAGCAGCACGGCCTCATGGGGAGATAACAATACCCACAGAGAAGAACACAATGGCAGTACCTAACATTGGCTGAGAGATGACTACATGCCAGCCAAGCACTAGTGCTATTAAGTGGACCCTCACTTATCACCTGCGTGTTGGACAGGTCACTGAAAAGCAGCCACCATCTATGAGGTCATAGAGCCCTGCAGCAGAAGCCAGGCAGCCCGACTCAAGGACTCGCTGAATCCTAAGTCATTCTCTGGGAAGCACTCTGCGCTTCCACAAAAAAAGGAAATAAGGCCAATTCTAGAGTTACAAAGCCCAATGTTCAAGTCGCAGTTTACCATAATGGTGATATAGCCCTTAGAAGCCATTCCAGGCCTGTGGCTCATACATAAATTAGATGTAACATCTACTAATCTATCAAATTACGGTGATAACTATAGAAATTAAGGAAAAGATTCTGTCATCTAATAGGTGTTCAATGATAGTTATTATTGATGATGAATCATCGTATTACCCATCACTGGTTTCTAAATTATTCACCTATAACATTTGTGAGTACAACGTGTGTGCATGTGTGCACTCATGTACAAAGTGCACATGAAGGTACTGCTGTGGTTGAAAGAGGAGAAATGGAAATGAAGGAAAGAATAAAAGATGTCCTTCATGATCATGTGCATGTGCACACATGTGCGTGCACACACACACACACAATTTCTTTTCCTAATTTCTTTCCCTAGAGTTGCAGAACATAGCACCTTAGCATTTTAATGAAGGTGTGCAACAGATACACACAAGGGACCTCTTACGCTGGAATAATGAGTGGCCATAGTGAAAAGGCAAACACTTCAATATGAAAACACTGAAGCCAGTGGTGGACCAACAACAGTACAAGTCTCGGAACCACTCAGACTTCCATTCAAATCTTTGTTCTAACAATATGTGGCTATGTGACCTATGACAAGAAATTATTTATCTTCTGGAGCTTCAGTTTCTCTCATCTATAAACTGGATCTAATTGTACCAGGTACTTTGTGCTAAAGATTATAATACATATTCGGATATGATTGTAATACATGTAAAACATCTTGTTTCTAGTACACATGCTCTCTAAATGGTAAACAAATTAGAATCACTATTACACTGCTATGTCCTCCATGATAGCCACGCCAGAAATCACCTTGAAGCCTATAGTCCTAGAACTCTGGAGGTCTGAGGCAAGAGGACCACAAGTTCGAGCATAGTCTAGACAACTTAGTGATTTAGAGACCCTGACTCAAAATAAAAAGTTTAAGGGGGACAGGGTTGGGAAATTGATCAGTGAAAAGGCACTGGTTTGAATCTCCAGTTTCCCCAAAAACAGTCAACCTGAGCTTTCATTTGTTTTCCATCACTTTTACTGTGATACCTTATTATAATTAGGTATCCATTACTGGAATCTCTTCCAGGACTTGCCCAAACACACGGCTTAAAAATTCACTAATATAAAAAGCTTTCCTTAATTAGTTGTAGAAAGACTTTAGTTAGGAAACAATGACTTTCTAAACAGTAGGAGTAAATATTTTACTTTTACTACAAGTGAATGTATGGTTTATATTAATTAGGTTTTTGACCATAAGAATTTTAATTAAAATTCTGTGAAGTCTAGATGGAAACAGTTTACCTTATATTTTAGAGAAGTTTGGGGGGCACCAGTCTGGCTAGCTAAAAGCCTGAAAATTGAATTCTTTTCTATAGGTAACTTTAAAACACATATACACACTCTTTCTCTCTCTCTCACACACACATATCAGACATGAAGAACAGAGAGGTAAGGTTTGAAGGATGACAGAAAAAACTAACTGTAAGGAAAGAAGTCAAGAGACCTGCAGAACATGAAGACAAGAGAGGAATGGGGTCAGGCGAGAGTTGTCCAGGAAGGACACAAAGCACCGTCTCTGAAAGGGATGTTGTGGGCCCTCACTACACAATATCTACAGCAGGCCTCCTCCGGTCTCCCGAGAGATGGGCACTCTATCAATACAAGGTATTATGCTTTCTGTTCCTATAACTGGGAGATTGATATTCTTTGGTAGGAGTCCATATTCAGCACAGAAGGAGCACAATTAGAAGCCTGATACAGCACTTTCCCCTTTTTCTCCAATACAAAAGTCTCCTTGCAGCGTGTGACCTTCCATGCAAAACAGCTCATTTGGAAAGCTTAGCTCCAGTCCCCTAAAAATCCCTGGTTACAAGCCATGGGAAAGGAGATCATGTGACGGAGGCATGGTCCTTTCTAAGCGACAGGGGAAATGTCCTGCTACAATCACCCTTAGTGAAAAGAACACAGTGCCACCGGGTTAGTCAGAAGCCTTCTGGCCCACAGGACAGCCTGCTCTCGTTTTTCCACGACTCTTGCTTACAAGGTCACAATTAATGGGATCTAGCAGTTAAATTCTCATGAGGGTTTAAAAAGCGTATCATAAAATATTGGCTTTAATTAAAAAAAACTGTCTCCAAAATGCTAGATGGAGCAAAGAAGAGTGTTCTTTTCCTTTCCCTGACAATCAATGATTATTAAATGTGCTCATGTTAGGATTTCTGAATGGTAGACAATACCATACTATGAATAATACAAATAATATACACAATAGACAGTAAGTACACAATGGTTTTGAAATATTAAGTCACTTACCAGGTCAGTAGAAGAAACAGTTGGAAAATCCTCTGGAGCCAGTGTGGCATCATTAAGTAGTGAGATATTAACTGTAAAAAAGGATAATTTTTGGCCTTAAAAGTAAAGTAGAAACAGCTTAAATGAGTAAATAGCTAGGCATTTAAAATGTCTTCTATAACAACACAAGACATGATGAATTTTGATTTATCATAACTGTTCACTTTTCATTGAGATAAAACAAATAATCAAAGATTTAAACACATCCATTGTGCTCTAATACACTAAGAAACAATAGTATTTAAGGAAACATAAAATTAATTCCAGTTTTTAAAACACACACATACACACACACACACACACACACATTATCCCTGTTACAAAAATACAGCCAATATATTTTGGCTAATGAAAGAAATTACTGCTAATAATCAAATTGATTACTGGCTTCAAGTACAGTGAAACCTCACAAATTAGAGCATCACTAAATAAGAATTTATTTTTTTTTTTGCGCTTTAGATCGGTCATCTTTATTTTTTTTAATTCTAGAAATAAAAGGAGGAAAACATTAACAGACAGACAACCTTTTACAAAATAGCAAAAGAACAGTACAAACCATACGGAGTTATAAACAAAGTGGTAGGAAATTAACAATGCTTGTTGTATTACATATTGATATCTTCAAAGTGGTTTCTCATGAAAACAGATAGAGACATGCAATATTGATAAAAAAGAATTTATTAATTTGTACTTTTGAAAATTTTTGACTACATCTCAAAACTACATGTGTGCAAGTGTATGAAAATTAAATATTACAAGTAAGTATAATGGGCATAAATAATTTAATTTAAAAAATTGTTTCCATATAAAAGTTATTTTCATAGAACATGGCAACTTTATAGATTTAGGATGTTACTTACAAAACTTTACTTATGAAATGTTCCCTCCCCTTGGTTGATGAAAATTAAAACATAATACTTTCATCAAAATATTTTTCTTTATTAGATAAAACTCTGAAGGACATTTGGCCCAAACAATGAAACAAACAAGAATCCATTCCCAAAAGGACATTAATTATTACTAACGAAACCTAGTGTTTTATAACTTTTTGTTCTAAAAAGCTTAAAGTGAATTTGTTTTACACTCTTCCACTTGTTTATTTAAAAACATTACGGATCATTTCTTGGTCTTCTGGCTAACGTCAAGTATAGCATCTGTTCTTCTCAGTTTAAGAACACCCTGGAATGTGCTGTACATATATTTTATACCCACCTTATACAAGCAGGGACTCTAAAGCAAGACATGGCAGGTGACTTCCCCAGCATCACAGTAATAAGTAAAGCTGCTACCTTACCATGTGCAGCATTTTGTCTCCTCCTATACAATATTTCTAATCATCACATAAAGGCGATTTATGTGGCCACGGAATTTAACGCAAGACAGGACAGCCAATATTACATGACATGACTCTCAACTATGAGCTGAGATGTCCGAGCCACTTGGGCTTTCAAAGTGAACAGCAAATGTGAAATCACAATCCGCTATGTAAATGGTGTCTGGGAAACTGCTCTTCCTGAGCTACATCATTTAATGCAATTTCATGAGCTTCCTGTCATAAGACATCAAAGATCCCTTCTCAACATACTTTCTGTACTAAAACAAGGGTTAAAGAGTCAGAGGAAAGATATTTGAAGCTCCTACTCAGTGAAATCAATATTGGATAATAGAGACCACCACTGCACTAACAGAGGATTTTAATATGAACTTTTATAATTGTTCTCAAGATTTGGATCCATATCAGTTTTGCTATTTTACATTTTTTTATCTTTTCAGTTTTCCTCTAAAGCAAATCATTAAGCATACTGGCTCTCAAAATCCCAGAGGAGCAGCATCCAAATGACAGGAAAAAGTATATAATACTTTCCCTACACATTTTAGTGAGCAGCTGTTTCAAACGAAAGACTTCAAAAATAAATACATAATAAAGCACTTCCGTAAATACATTTTGGCAGGATATTCAGGCCCATAAATAAGATTAAAAGTAAATTTCCTTAGGATCATGGGCGAGAAAATGATCAATTACACCTGGGAGCTTGGTCTAAAAGAATCACCAGCCACTATTTGGATTCAGACACACAGGGTAAATACTTTGGCAACAACTGCAAAGCGATCCATTTATGTGGGACCTGCAATATCCTTAATGAAGATTCTGGAAAGGCCAAATGGAAAAGCCAAAACACACTGCGTTCTGTCCTCATTATTTGTCCCACACCATAGCTTATGAAGCAAGAACATGGCTAACCAACGGTCATCGGGACAGCCTCTCTCCCAGACTAAGCTGCAGGGAGTTTCCAGGGCTGCTTTCCACCATTTACACTTTTACTTGTTCCTGCTTTCCATGCATCAACTTGAAGTTGATCTGTGGACCAGGGGAGTGAATGCTGTTAGTGACACACATTCAAAACTGCATCTGTAACTAGTCACTAAGAGCAGATGTGCCTGTTCTGAGGCACCACCACCTCACAACACAGAGAGGGGAGCATTGGGATTTGTCCTGAATCCTGGCTCCACCAGCCTCTGCACACAGCATTCTCAAACTCCCTCACCAACAAACACTCTTGAGAAAGTAGCCTCACTCCTCTTGACCTCAAGTCCCTACTATGCAAGAATGGATTGGAAACCATCCTCCTAAGGCTGCGAGTGGATTAAACTGAATCACAAAGGCAAGCTGCCAGCACAGTGTCCATACCAGGTAAGAAGAGCTAAAGAAACAGTGCAGCAATGATAACAGCTCCAGGACCTGTAGAAAGCAAAACTCAGAGCGAGACCATCAGCGACCCCTTATGGTTTTGGGGATGATTAAAATGCATATGTTATGTTATTAAATACATTTTATTTTAAAAAGTCTAGTAAAATGGCTGGCATGTAAAGGATTCTTATTAAATATTAGCCTAACCTGAATCTGTTCTTTCAACACAGTTTCTTAGAGTTACAGTACTGTGGAACTGATTAACCTGACGTGAGCGAGAAAACCTGGAAGATTATTCTCCATGATTACAAAACTTTAATGTCTTCTTCCATTCTAGTTAAGCAACATCTTAAGGAAACTGAGCTAACTGGGAAAGAGATAAAGAATATGAATGAACACACTTCTTGCTCTGTGGTCATGTCCCATTTATTTAAGGGTAGGATAACCTGCACACACTCGTATCTCTTGGTAAAGTCCAGTATTTCTGCTCCAAATTTCTAGATCAATAAACGGGAAGAAATGGTTTTCGTGGGATGACAAAGTGAAGCAGGAAAATTCTAGGAGGAGTAACTGTTGGGGAAATTACCTGCCACTCTCTCAGCCTTAAGTCTTAAATAAAATTAGTTTTTCCTACTTGGCAACTACTCCCACAAAAAGTTCCATCTCCGTATCCACCCGTTATTACATTTATGATGTGTTACAGACATGATTCTGGGGAAACTTCTAAGTGTGTGCTTCATGTAAAATCTAAGCTAAAGAGTTTTCTAGGTCTGGTGATAATCCAAATTTACTGCTCCTCCTTTTATGATTCCCACAAGCATTATTCAGAAACTGCCAAAATATAGGTTAGGACAGTAAAAGGAAGCTTAAATGATGAATGCTTCAGGGACCTGTGGTTTTCTCAGAAGACCATATTACCATGAATGATAAAGCATCAACTGTCCTGGTGAAGGGCTTTCACAAGTACAGCGTGAGCACTGCCACACCAGCGCTCGTCCTTTCTGTCCTGAGCACTAGTCCCCGATTAAACCTAACATAAAAGACAGGATGGCACACAAAGTAAAATGGCATATAATATGGTATAGTTCATGGAACAGAAATTTCCTCACTTTCTTTTAATAGGCTTAATTGTGAAATACATATGGACTATAAGATTAGATCACAGGAGACACACTCCAACAGCTCTTTGTAATGGCTATAATGTATTGGCATACTGTATTTATTAGGGTAATAGAGAAATCATATAAAAGAAATGGTTTTAAAATTCTACACTAGTGATAACTGTTTCAGAGCATCTGGAAGCCTTGTGATGTAAATTAAGGTATAGAAACAGAAGCCATGGCTACTTCTAATCACTTGGCTTGGTCTGCTGGTTCCATACCAGTGACAAAGCCAGCTTTTGCTCAGAGAGGACAATAGTCATTAACACTCAGTGTCTGAGAGAGAATTTCCTCCTCTGAATCACTCATCCATTATTAAGCATGTTCTCTTGGAACAGTCAACAATGAATCAATAAAATATATCTCATCTCTTAACAGTACAGTGTCTAGCCCCTTGAGGCTATTTTTCTTGCTATTGTAATTCATCACTGTTAGCAAAGCATCTTTCTCCTGCAGATATAAGACCAACACCTGGTCAGGAAATTTAGTTTGACCTTTTCTAAAATACTAATGTGCCCTCGGTAGAGTCACTATAACCTTTACACATTAGGCAAGTGAAAAAAAAAGATATTGGAATAAAAATTTACCTCTAAAGTCTGGATCAAATAAAATTTGAACATCTGTTCACTCAAAAATAATTGACACTTTTAAAAATAATACCTTTTATGAAATGTAACACGTCTAAATATTCATGTGTATGTATTCTACTTCATTGCAAGTAGCACAATTCTTAAAAAGCAATGAAATAAACTTTGAATGATGGGTAGAGGAGAAAGGAAAAAAGGAAAAGGAAACATGGAAAGATGAGCTCAAGGCTTCCTAGTACAAGATTAGAACATTTGTTTTTGAATGAATTACACAGAGTTTACTTAGACACAAATGCATTGCTTGCAAGACTTTAAAAGCTTTTTCTACACAACTCTCTAACACTTTTATCATCTCAAGTTTCAGTGGAATACATGCACTGAACTCCTTCACTTTTATTCCTTAAATATAGCTTCAAATGTTTGACGTTTGTCCACAATAGCACACTAGTTGTTAATTATTTTAGGGGCGAGGGCTGCAGCAAAAACTTTACTTAGGAACTTTTCCTAAGAAATTTTCTGAAAAATTAAATGTTTGAACTTCTTCAAAGAATACAGCTAAAAGACTAATTATGCCATCTTTTGTAGGATAATGGAAAAAATATGAAAAATAAAACATTTTTACTCAGTATCTACTAGGTGCCAGGCAATTTTACATACACTATGTCATTTAGTGTTCACAGTTAACCTTTCAGAGTAAGTGTAATTACTAACGTAGTACATAGATTACGACACTGACATAGAGATTAATGAATCAAGCTCACAGTCACACTGCTGGTAGGGTCAGAGGTAAAATTCAAACTTAGCTCCCTTTTCTCCAAAGCATGTTATTTGTATTTTCTCACACGGATAATTTTCTACACGAAGATGAAATGAAATATGGTGAGCCATCCTTCACTGGATATTGCTGCTTTCATTTTTGGGTTTTGAACTGAGTTTTTTTCTTTCATAAATACTTCTGCTACATGGAACCATGAAGGCAGGACGGGGACTATAACATCAACTGTCTCCACAGTCATTAATAGAGATCCTATTTCTGAACAATGGGAATTTAGTGCAAAATCATGCGTTCACCCAAGAAAGTCGTATCTCCTAACTCACTTTCCTTCTTAGTTCTTTAGTGAACCTGGCATGTATCAGAGTGTTATCCATCAATAGTTTGAGCTAAAGGGAAAGAAAAGCGTGCATTAGGAAAAGGAAAGCCAGAGCATGATGAAAGCTTATGGGAGTGAGTAAGGGAAGATCAAGAAGAGAAAAAGAAGAAGAATTATCTCCACAAAGACCAAAAAGTCTTACTGCCTTTTGGGTGTGAAGCGAGTTTTCTTGTGATTTTACTGACCCCTCACTTCCATTCAGTCCACTCACTCATGCTCGGTTTGCAAGCCCTTGACTCTCTGGGCAGTTGCCAGTTTGTAGTTACATGTACTGTATTGTTCCAGGGTTGGAAAACAAGCCATCAGCCAGTTTAAATATTATTGACTCATTGATTGAGCTCTTCTACTAAGCACGCATGTTGTGATGAAAGGCCGATCTTCTGTTGTTTTTAGAATCCACACTCAAGCTGTACATGCATCTGCTAACATTTTTCAGTCTTTACTAAAGAGTATCAAATTTATGATAGATCTATGCAGCTTTCTACTAGAACTGTTAAGATTATAGAGAAGTATGAAGATTGTCAAGAAGTATTAAGGTTATGTTGGAAATACATGAAGACTAGTCTTATGGGGTTTTATAAAGTATGAGATTGTTATGAATATGAAAATAATGTCCATTTGCCTTTTTCCAAACCACAGACATGTTTCACCACCATAAATTTAAAAGCTCCCGGGGCTGGGGATTTCGCTCAGCAGCAAAGCGCCTGCCTGGCAAGCGTAAGGTCGTGAGTTCGGTTCCCGGTACTGGAGATAAGCCAAAAAATAAAAAATAAATAAAATAAAATAAAATAAAAACTCCCTCTTCCTGTGTACACATCTAGACCACTGCAGAGATAAGTGGTACGGCCAACAATGTGGATGCAAAATGAGCTTATTGCCTGACAAAGTCCAATTAGAAGGAGCAATGAGACAGGTGTATGTGCACAATCATTCACACCAAAATCTAAATGCTGCCCCTACATTTTAATGAAAGTTAACAATCTTAATGCAGCTAGCATTTACTCAGGACATATTTTAAAACATCTGAGGTACTTTATCTGCACTCATCTTTTCTTCAAAACAGTTCTACAAGGCTGTACCATTATTAGCCCCATTTTATAGAGGAGGAGGGTGAGACTAACCTACCTCAGGAAAGGAGCTCTCCCAGAGTCATAGATTTGGCATTAGTGACCTGGGACTTGAGTACAAGACTTTCTGACTTCAAAGCCCACTATACTGCCTTATACCAGTAGTGCCAGGAGTAGGAACTGTCAGAGTCCTTCTGGGACACCTCCTTAGTGATAGTGACTTAAGACTGATTTCTTACACAGCCTGGGGAAAACAGGAAATGTGATGAATGTATTCGTTATATATTGCAAACTTGTACTAATTATAAGCAATAATGATGACAAATAAGTGAGAACAAAAAAGAAAGGCATAAAAAACAAAAAGCTACTACCTTAGAGGCCCATACTCACCGTGCATATTTAAATTGCTTCAGCCCTCAGTATGCTGTTGCCAGCAATACACAGACCCTTCCTAGAAGGGGACTTGCATGGGAAATCTTTGCTTTATGTGTCAAAGTAAACGTACAACTTACATTAGTACGATTCACATGAATGGTTTCATACTACCCTCTCTGCCAGCAGCCAATGAAAATAATGACCGCAGGTCTGCGCTAGCCTCAGGAAGGTAGGCATCACTTGTGTGTGACAGGTGTGCTCACAAGGGCCCTCATCCGGCAGTAGGAGCACCTCATACCACAGGACAGCTGAGGGGAAATGTATACTTCTTTAGAAATCTTAGTGGAAGTCAGCAGAGGACAGAGGAGAGGGGAGAGGAGGAAGGGGAGACAGAGATAGAGACAGAGACAGAGGAGAGGGGAGAGGAGGAAGGGGAGAGGAGAGAGGGGAGACGACAGAGACAGAGACAGAGACAGAGAGGTAACTAGGAAAGCTCAAAACCCTGGCGCTGACATGTCTGTAAGTCGAGCGTTCGTCTGGACTTCCCTGTGTGTGCAGGCTGAATGGCTATGGGGTTTGCCGCCTTCCTTCTCAGAAAAGTTCCCCACAGTCGGGTCTCTCTGGGGAGAACACTGAACTGGTTCTAATAACAATATCTTAATGCAGTGCATGCCCGTTCCATTCTAAGAAGTTCTAGAATTATGAAACACAGGTATTCCAAGCCAGCATACATCTTAGTGCTCCCGGGCTGTTAGAGTGCAGGATATTCACGTTCACCAGAATCTTTGCATTTCCACTTAGGCCCTCTCAGCTTTGCTTTTAAGTATAGGTTTTATATGACTGTGTGCTGACTTTCCTTAAACAAGACCAAAAAAATTATAGAGCAAAATAAAAGACAGTAGGAAACAAGGAAAGAGATCTTGCTACAGGGAAGGAGACGAAGAGATGGAGTGAGGAGAAGAGGATGAAGAAAGGAATTAGGACGCGTTGTGTACATGCGCCAGTGCCCCACGATGAATGCAGCCACTATGTATTGGAAATAGTTTTTGCAGTACACCATGTACTGCAGCGCGAAGCAGAGCCACACCCTTTCTCTCACTGCCCTGCTGATGCGCCGCGGGCTTCTCAGGCTTCTCCACCTGAGGCAACACAGCAGGACGGTGTTGCCACCAGGGAATCTGTGGCTAATCTCACACAGCCTCCCACAGGCAAGAAAAGTCTGCACAGCATCTTGTTTATGTTCCACAATTATAAGCGTTTTGCAACTGGTCTATAACATAAGCGTGTCTGTTTTACTGTCGATGTGAAAAAGAGTTTCCCTCAGAATCCTGAAGTCAAAGTGGATGTTGGGAGAATTGCTCCCAATTTACACCCCAAGTTCACACCATCCCTAGAACACTGCTGTACTTCTGGTGCCAAAAAACTATACTCACAAGCATCCATATCACTCTACACAGCACTGTGACCTCAAGTTATGCAATCAGCCTTAAAGTACCACTGTCAGATACACACATCTACCCCCTACTCTAGGAGAACAGATGTAAAGCGACTTCCATCAAAGCAAATTCTTTTTCGAAACGTCTTCTGCAGTATAAAATCAGTGATGAATTATTACAAGAAAAAACTCTGAAGACCAAAAGTTGAACACTTTTTTATGAGAAACTTCTGATACTGCTTTTGGTAAGATAGATATTAAAATGTTAAGATGAACAGAATCACATTCCGCATGCAGAAGTTACTTTTATGTTTTTTCTCCCTTGAACATATGTATCTCCTAGAATATAACATGTCCACCTGCACACCTGCATTCCTTCTCTCCTCTCTTATTCTTTTTTTTCTTTTCCATTCTTACTTAGGTTGTCTAGCAGAGGTAAATTATAAGGCTCTACTTTACCATTCAGTGACTCTAATCTGAATTTCTTTTTTTGTTTTATACTTCAAGTAACATAAAGTGAATTAATATACTGTTTCTTCTATAAGCTTAAAATAATCAATTTAAAGCTTATTTAAAAGAAGATATTCCCAAGGCAGTAAAGAAACCGTAAAATATGGAATACAAACTCAGTAAATTTAGATTCATCTGATATTTGTATGTTAACACAGTATATGTACCTACGTCTCCTCAACGCAAAAAGCTAAGAATAACGCACAAATTCTTTGCCATACAGCAGTTTGAGTTACTTTCAACATTTTGAGCTGGTTTTGTTTATATTCCAGGGTTCTTGATTTTATTCCCAGTGGAAGCATAAGGCTGCAAATTCAGCATGATGGTGTCTCTGAGGTAGCAGACCCTTGCCTGAGGATCACGATTCCATGCAGAAATCTGCAGGCACAGAGCCTGTACCTTCCCGGAAACACAGGGCACCCACAGGCAGCAAGCAAGCCATCCTCACCTGGCTCGGGCGGCACACACGCACAGGAGAAGCGGGTGTTGTAGCCCACCTTGAAGTCGGAGTTGATGGGATAGTAATCTGCTAGCTTGATCATCTTCTTGAAAGCATCATAAATAAAGATGAAACTGATCAGAGAAGAGAAGCCCTCTTCTGTGAAACGAGTGAAATACTGAACCAAGAAGCTGGCATCCGTGGCCACCAAAACGAGACACTGGAAGGCTGACCACAGGCCGATCCAAAGGCGAAACTCCAAGTAGTCAAAGTTATGGTCCCTGGACAGAAGAAAGAAACACATTTAGTTCTTTTGTGATGAAACATACAGAATAGAAAACCAGCAAATGCCTACATATGATGGCTAGAAACACAAAATCACCCTTAGCCACTACATACAAAGCTCAATTTTACCCAGAAAGTTTAAAGTTCAAAGATTTTGTCTAATAGTATGATTGTGCTAGTTACTGAGATAATTTTAGAAGTCTGAGAACAGCACATGGAAAGAAGTCATACCATGTGTATATGAGAAACTCATTCGTCTTCTCATTCAAAACGATGGTCCCTGTATTCACGGCATTTGCAGAGTAAACTATGTGAAAGTACACTGGCACCTGGTATGCATTTAATAAATGTCAATGTTACCAGTTAATGGGGACATCAGATCATTATGTTCTGTGTCCCCATGTCCGTGCAGTCTACTGAGAGACAAACTAATAAACATCATAAAATAATAAGTGATAGTACCATGGTAAGAGGAGTAATTAATTCTAGCAGGGAGGTAGGATGAAGTTAAAGAAGAAACTCAAGGTGTTCCAGCATAAGTAAGAACTTCGCAGACTCGGTAAAAAGACACACAGCACAAGACAGCACGCAGTGTCCACTGTGAAGAGAGGGCCGCCAACGACGAGACAGGAATAGGCATGTGGGCCACTGCCAGGTGCGGAGAGCCCACCTGACCACGCCACACGCCACACATCCCTGAGGTCACTTACAGACATTACACCCTTTCGCTGAAATCAGCGTGAATTTATCTTGCGACCACTTTTCCTCAGTCCCACGCGGACTTAGCATAGGCCACCTCCGCCTAAGGAGGTTATGTAGTCTTTCAACGCCCCTCCCATTCCCTACATGTCAATTAGTTCAAGATTCACAGGAAAAGATGGCTCAAGTGCTGACATTTCATACTGATTCTTTTAAAAGTAAGTGGAGAGGAGCACATCGCAATGTTTAAATTTATCAGGGATTAAAAACAGATAGTAGCACCTCTTGCCTACGAACCAAAGACTGTGCATCTTGAAGCTCTCCAGCCCGGCTTTCAGAGGAGTTTCTCATGCCGGCTAGTGACGGATGAACACTGCCCCAACTTCCTTCCCTGACCTGGTCTGAAGCACCAGTAAGAACGGCCGCTCCAACCTCTGACCCAACATCCAGACTTGATACCTGCGCCTGCCCTGCTCAATTCCATTGCTGCACCACAACCGAAATGATCTCTTGAAATGCAAATAGGTTCCTCAGCTTAAAACTGTTCAATGTTTTCCCACTGCTCATAGAATAAAATTCTGATTCATTACCTAGTAGAGGGCCATTCACACAGAAGGTGCCTGATAAAGGCTTGAAAGTGCTGGGCGAATGAATGCGTGCCTGTAGCTGAAGACTTGACCACTACGGTGACTTACACGGCCCTAGGAACTATCACATGCAAGTAGAGAAGGCTGTGCCTGTGCCAGTTGAACGTTAGAGGCTATTACAATTAAAACTGTCTTAGATACTGTGATGCTTAAGTTTGTGTCAACTTCTGTGGGCTACAGGGTGCCCAGATATTTGTCCAAACATTTCTCTGGCTATTCCCATGAAGGTGCTTTTGGAGAGATTAACATGTAAATTCCTAAGGTTTTAGGGAAGCTGATGATTTTCCATAATTCTCATCCAATCAAAGATTAAGTAGAACAAAAAGACCAACAAGAATTCATCAGTCAACTGTCTTTGAACTTCATCTGCAGCCTCAGCTCTTCTGGTTCTATGGAAGACAACTTGCAGATTCAGTGAAATACCACTTCTCCGGAGTTTCCAGCCTGCCAAGCTGCCCTGCATATTCTGGACTTGCCAACCTACAAGGTCCTACGAGCCAATTCATTATAATAAATCTCTTTATGCATCTGCACCTTACTGGCTCTGTTTCTCCAGCATCTAGACAAATACAGACACCAATTTGTCAACTACGCCTCATTTTATACATGAGGGCACCAAAGCCAATGGAAGGTAAATCATTTATCCAATGTCAACATTTTAATGGCAAAGTTGGACCAGAAACTAAAGCTCTTGATTCTTGGACTGGTCCTTTTAAAAATTATACAGTAGTCTCCCCCACACCACCACCCACCCTATGAGCTATATTGATCTCAAGATAGGTTAGGTATTGACGTTACGTTCTCTTCTCATCTCAGCAAATCGCAGGAATTGGAAAACACTGCCAGAGCAGAGCATTAACGGTGAGGAGGAATGCTATTTTCCACAGATTTCCTGAGACTTTCTGAGGATAGTTTTCCATTCCTTTCCAGTTGTGTGTATGTCAGTGTCTACAGACCTAGTGTTTAACTCTGAAGAAATAAGCACAATACAGGAAAAGTTGAGTTCTAGTAATATAAATTATCTAGTTGAGCTAATTTACATTATCACACAATAAGTCACTGTTGGATAAGAATTAAGAAGCACTGTTTTATTACTTCTAAATCAACAAGTTTTTTTTCTTAGAAGTTTAAAACAATTACTTAATTTTACTTCCCTAACAGGATGAGAGAGCAATCCAGATTAATTCTAAGGGTGCTAGTGGCAGTTGTGGAATTGATGTTTCTAGGACAGGATAAGAATTAAACCCATTAATTGGTTAATGGTCAGAAATATCATCAGTTTGAGTACAAAGGAAAGAATGCACGCATAAACTTATATTTTAGAACCTAAACAATTTACCCAAAGAGGCTCATTACGGAGTCCCAGAGTATTTCAATGAGAATGACTCAAAAAAATCACTAAAACCTATGGCACTTTGGTATGAAAGTGATATGCTTCCATCAGCAGAAGGAGAAGTAAGAGAGGAAAAACTTTTCAACAGTTTGATGATCTGAAATGATTCTACTGAATCTCCAAAACAAGGATTTACCTGTATCTCCAAAAATGGTAAAAATATGTTGGGGAAGATCTTGGCAAGACAAAGCCAAACAGTTTCTTTACTGCAGGAACTCTGAGATCCTGCAGGGTGCTGAGGTAGAAAGTGAATTACTGAGGGCGAAATGTAATATATAACACGTCCCAGGCTGACTGGGAACGCAGAAACATTTTCCATGGAGCATCTAATGCACCTGGTAAGGGATGAAACACATCTTGGGAGATAGTGATCAAAAGATACGGTGGCTCTAGACAAAGATTAGTGACTGAACAAATTCACATCACTGTGAATAACATGTTTGGCACGTATTACTTAGCAACTGATTGATCGATTGATTGATTGATTTCTAATTGCTTTCTGTTTCCAAATACTGTAAATTACTTGGACCAATGTAACCATGAAGCAGGAGTGAAAGTGAAACAGGAACTTGCTTAATAAAGGAATCTCTATCCTACAATTATTAAAGCAAGCCGGGATCCAAACATTTTCTGTAGATTAAGGATCTGATCACATTTCATCCAATAAATCTCTCTGCAAAGGCTTTGCATGTTTGTTCCTGTTTATAGTATGTGCTTCTTCAATCTTTGCACAAGCTTTCTTGTGTCACAAAATGTTTTCTTAAACATATAAAAACTGTTTGACTCGTTCTATAAACTGACATGAATAAAATTCTTTCCAACGCTCTCCTCAGGATTATAATGGAAGAGAGATTTGCAATAATGCTCTACAGAAAACTCACAATATTATTTAAAATTTGGAACTTTAAATTCTCAGAAGACTCTTGCAGTTGTGAACTCAGTTTTCAAAAAAAGTAAAAGAAAAACCAGTTTCAAATTCTTATTTGCTCCTTTATCTTCTGACCATTTTTCATGACACACACAGTGGAAAGGCTCTATATGAGCCCTTAAATCCAGGAGGTACTACGTAGGTAACGACTATTCTAAAAATTAATTTCTTCAAATGTCCACTATCAGAACACGATCATTCTAACAAGGAGTGCTAGCAAGGCTTATAAAATTCTGTAATCTAAGGATTGAGATCTGCCGCTAAACATAATTCTTTCTTAGCAATATCAACTAGAGTAGAAAGACACCTGAATACCAATTTTTATTTTGAATTTGTTGCATGTTAAAATGACCATTTATCTCAATTGCTAAAACTTAGCTCAACATTCCCTTTCTCTGAATGACCCATCAATTTCTAAAAGAAAACGGTGATGTTATTATTTTGTGCCCACTAGCAGCTTCTCATGATTATTTTAGAGGCCTGGGCTCTAGCATCAGAAGGCAGGAATTTCAATCCCAGCCCAACCATCCGCTGGTGATGGAATAGTTGGCAATTGAATTGCTTACTCAGTGCCTGCTTTTCCACTATAAAACAGGATAAAGTCCCTGACTCACAGGATTGCTACAAAAATTAAATGGGTTAGTACATGCAAAGTGCTTAGGATGATGCTTGCCCAATAAATGTCAGCTAGCATTTGGCCATGCCCTGAAAGCTATGTTCAGTGAAGAGTCCTAGAACTGGAAGAAGTATCTAGTCTTTTTTATTACTGAACAAGTGACCTTAAACTAGTCATGCAATCTCTTTAGTAGTCTACCAGTTAGGGTTACGGCAGGAAATGGCATGCTCAAATGATATTCTGAGGAAAACTCAGTAAATGGCCCATTTACAAAAAACAGCGAGGTACTGCAAGACCAGCAATAGCAAGAAGCCATCACTCACTCCAGGTCAAAAAGGCCAAGGAAGGAATTAGGTTACCATATCCTAGAGGCAGATAGAGGGCCACCTTACATGGGCGAAAGTCCTAGAGGAGAAGCCACTGCCACATTGCTGTGCTTAGCAAAGAACAGGTAGAGAGAGGGAGACATACTAGACCTCTTGCTCTCTCTTCCTGTCCTGCTGTAGCGCCCCACTGGCCAAACTCAAGGAAGCCAGAGAGCAAAGAAGCCCGGGGGTTGTAGTCCTCAGGGGTCTACACCTGGGGCACAAAGCACTGTGGGAACAGAATAACTGAGGAAGGAGCAAGCATAAAGCACAGCAGACGAGCCTCTGCTGAATCAAATGTAAATGAGTCTGACTACATAACGTTAAGGTTCTTTCAATTTAAAAATCTTAAACATTCCAATATTCTGACTGATTCTTGCACCTATCTAATTGCTATTCTGTGTTTTATCTGGGCTATAAATGTTCTACAGTCAAACAATTCTAATTTATAATTAGATATATGTGTGTCTTGGTTACTTTTCTCTCATTGCTGGGACAAAATACCTGATGCCCAAAATTAAGGAAGGAAAGGTTTATTTCGCTTACAGTTTGTGGAGGTTTCAGTCCATACTTGGCAAGTTACAAGGCAGAGTGGCACACGGCAGAGGGCTACAGTTCATGGTGGCAGAACACAGCAAAGCAACAAGCACACACAAGGGAGGAAATGGCCAGAAGCACCCTCTTTCTCTCCCTCATATATGCAAACTATCCACCCCAGGGCAGGTGTAGCTCTCACACCCATAATCAATCAAACTCTAAAAGCCTGCCCCATAACTGCATGAGGCTTTGAGGGGGACACCCAGACACAAACCATAACAATATGTATATATACATACTTGCTGAAATTAAATAGAAGCCGCTCAAAAACTAAGACAGGTCCTGTGCTGCTCAAAATAGTGAGTGGTTGACCAGCAAAAAGGCAAAAGACAGCTCCAGAGACAGCAGTGCCCAGGAAGCTCTCCAACACGCCCTAAAAGAAAGAAAAATGGCTGTTAAACAAAACATCTTTTACTTCCCATGTGCGATGGCCTTGCTGGAGTATATTATGATGAGGTCCCCAGCAGACACGTCCAGAGTGAGGAACAGTAAGAGTGCTCCACCACTTCTATGAATTTAAAATTAGTGTGTCTTCTCCATCCCACAGGTGGGACTATTTTATGAACTCTAACAACTGTAACAGTTGGTAAGTAGAAGGCAAAAGATAGCTTTGATACTTAGTAAGAATTAACTCTGCCATAAAGAAGGATAAATTCGAGTCATCTGTAGAAAAATGGATGCACCTCAAGACCATAACGTTAAGTGGAATAAATCAGACACAAAAGTTTCAATATTGCATGCTTTCTCTCACGTCAGAAACCCAAATTATAAACAAAGAGCAAATAAAAGATAACAGGAAGTAGGGAGATACAGCTTTCTCAAAAGGGAAGGGAATCGAGAGATGGGGGCTGAACGGGGGTGAATAAAAGAATTAAGATGTATTATGTCCATGTGCCAACTCCCCACAGGAATGTGATCATTATGTAATGAAAGATGGACTAATAAAAATAAAAACTGAAAAAATTAATTGTGGGTAATTTCAATAAAAAGCCACACTGTATAATCCCACCAAATGGGTGGAACTGGCCTCGTGCTTGTTTCACTTACTTTTCTCTCATTGCTGAGACAAAATACCTGATGCTCAAATTTAGGGAAGGAAAGGTTTATTTAGCTCACAGTTAGTGGAGGTCTCAGTCCATATTCAGCTGGCTCCAAGGCAGAGTGGCACATGGCACAGGGCAAAAGTTCATGGCAGCAGAAGACAGCAAAAGCAACAAGAGCAAAAAGGGAGGAGTGGCAGAGAGCAAGGCTCTTTCCCTCCCTTATACTGTATGCAGACTACCTGCCCCAGGGCAGGTGTAGCACTCACACCCATAATCCCAGCACTGGATCATGGATCAATCAAAAATCTAGAAACCCGCCCCATGACTGCACGCGGATTGGGGGGACGTGCAGACGCAAACCATAACAGTGCTTTAGGTGCACTTTTCTCTCATGGTTACCTTCAGTGTTTGTTTCATCCCAATTTCACACTGTACATAGTGGATGCTTAAGTAACTATATTTTACATAAAAGCTATTGCACAATGGAAAGGGTAGGAAAGTGGAGCTGGAAAATGATTTACATTCCATCCTGCAATTTCTATGGCATCAATTTTTAAAAAAACTCATTGTATACATATTGTTTGATGTACACATACAAAAGCTTTAATTAACTCATTTGTAAAGGAAATAAATGTACAGATATGAACAGCTAAGCCTTTATGAACACAACTCATTGCAGTTATATCTCTGGAAGTAAATCTGTCATTTCCTTTTACACAACAAAACAAAGAAACACATCATGAAGAATCACTGCTTTACAAACTGACCCAAACTTTTTTTTTTCCTTTTTGCTTTTTGTACTGGGAGATTGAATCCAGGGCCTTGTGCATGTTAGGCAGGTACTCTCATGTGGAGCTACAACTCCAGCCCTTTTCTTTTTGTTAGTTTTTATTTTGAGACAGCTTCACTAAGTTGCTGAGGCTAGCCTTGAACTAGAAATCCTCCAGCATTAGCCTCTCCAATAGCTGTGAATAAGAGGATGCATCTCTGCACCAGACTTGACACAACCTTTCATAAACATATCATTCAGTACTAACACTTTTGATGATAGCAAACTAGTTTCCTATATTTTTCATTGTTTCAAACGTGAGCTAGTATAGCACTTGTATTTGTAAAATAATCTTTATGTAACTTAATATTTTCTCAAGGGATAGTTTTTAAATGTAGAGATGACAGAGACATTTATATATTTACATTATTGTACCCTTGAAATCTATAGAATTTATTCACTCATCTATGAACAGTAAAATTTGTAAAGTCAAGTATCTTTCAAATAAATCAATAAATTTTATAGATTTCAAAGGCACAAAAATATAAATACATAAATAATATATATATATATTAATTTACTCAATGGAGCAAAATTATGTGATCTTTGTAATTCCATGATATATTAAATATTGAAGGGAGATCTCCCTCTTCAATTGAACAATAAAACAGCTATTCTTAAAAATAGGGTTTACATTATACAAAACTACCTCATAGTCTACCCCCCCACAGACACTAGGACAGACTAGACTTCTGGGAAACTGAGGTCCCCTCAGTCATTGTCTTGGTTCTTAAACCCCAAAAATAGCCTGTTCAGCTGCTGGCCTCACTAAGCTGCCTCTTTCCACTGTCCAAAAACTTCTCCACCAATTTTTCTTCCACTTATCATTTTTAGAGAACATTTAATGCATACAAAGCAATTACGAAGAAATTGGTTTTAATGATGAACATACAGAACTTACATTAGCTTCCATCTGTGTTCAAAAAGCATCCTTTGAGACCCTGTTGCAATGACTACTCAAAACATTTTTATACTGCCTCAGAGCTATGCACGTTCTCCTGAGTGACACTGGCAGTAGCAAATCCTCTTAAGATTAGAGTTTGCTTCAGAAAGCAGGTGACACCCTTCAGAGTAGCACCAGATAATAATGAAGCTGGGGTGGGAGGGGCGGGCACAAAAGCTGACATAGAGAAAGACCAGCTTCTCACATGGGGAGAAGCCCACTGTGACACAGTCCAGGCAGCTCCTGTCCACGGCGAAGTCCAGGCGTGAACTCTTCCAGGAGGGTCTGATAAGGGCTTCACTTATGTAGATGTAAGTCCTGAAGCATGACTGAGGGGGTCAGCTCCTGATGCATAGCCATTCTGGTACATTCCTTTGTAGAGGAACCGAACCAATGCATTTGTTTGCCCTGAAAAGTCTCTCTTTGTTACCCCCAAATAGCTTTTGTCCTGATTTCCCACGTTTGGGTGCTGAGGTTCAGGGGGATTAGACAATATGAATTTTCAACACAGCACATACACCTTTCCAACCACACCTCCTCCTTGGCAAGGATAAAGGTGTGTCTTCAGCTCCAAATTTTAGTCATATAGTTTTTTATGTCCTATGCGTCGGCAGCAAGCTTTTCATATCTTTAAAATTTATCTCTTTTTTTTTACAGTCTACATGAAGGGTTAAACACTTGAAAGCTCCATGAGGCAGGAAAAGCCACACTCTAGGTGCACATGCTTGGCAAAAATAACTGCATGATCCTTTATCAGATTCAGAGCAATGCTCATTCCTCGTCATTACTGCAAGACTGAAACATAGCTCAGACTGGACATAGGGAAGAAAGGACAAATAGGAGATGTAGGGTTCTCAACCTGACATAGCTATTAATCACTATGGGGGCAAGAAAAGGCTCTTCCAGCAGCTTCCGTATTTTTCTCCTCTCGTCATGCTGTCTGTCACCACCACTCCAGGCGCTCCACAGGGACTCAGGAAATGCTTGAGGACCTGGAGAAGCCACCCCCAAGCAGCTTCCTAGATCCAGTTAGCAAAGGTCAACAACCATGCTGCTCATTCAGTAATGACAGCAAATGTTTTTTTCCAGAAAATGGCTTTGATTTATGGAAGTCCTGTGACATTGGAAGGCTGATTATTTTTATTTCAGTACTTGATCCTTTGGTAAATGCTACGGCTCCCATTCTGTGACTGATAATTTTGAAACAGGGACAGGTGATTTATTATACACACTGCACACTGCTGAAACTTAGAGATGCTTCCAGCATCCCTAAGAGCTACTTTCACATTCTGACATGCTCCTCTTGACACTATAGAAATTTTTAAAATAATCTCATGTAATGAGTAACTGTAACTAGGGTTGAAAGCAAATTACAAGGTGAACTATCAGAAAGCGCTTTTCTGATTTACTATATTCAATGTTTGCTGACACATTTTTAAAAAGGAAAACACTGTTATCTGTCTTTCAGTAGGTGCAGTCATCAGGCATGCAGACACATCTGTATCTCACTGAGGAAGGAACTCACTAGCAATTTCTGAGAATGCAGCTGGCCGACCTCTGAGGTGTGGCAGGTCCGGAACCACCAACTAATCAAGATTAGTTCTTGAAAGGAGGGAACGCCATCTTGGTTTCCTCCATCTTATTCAAACACAGGACGCCAACTGTGGATTGGCAGAAGTAGCAAACAACTGGCTGCCAGAAAATGCAAAACCTAGACTGATCAGCCCCCTGGTGATCTTAGGAGTGTCTCTTCACCTCTGTTCATTTTAGTTTCTTCATGCAAGATTTACAAAATTAGGTGACACAGGTGAGCAATAATGTTCCGGTGGGACAACCCCAAACTGACATTTAGACCAGGTCATTTCCTCCCTCAGACACTGAACTACTTTATCCCTTTATGCCTGAGGAGGTTAGTATACAAGTTAGATCAGACCATGCACAGAAGTGCTCAGCATGGCCTCTGATGGATGAAACCTTTCGGGAAAAAATAATCACATACACAATGTACTCATTTAGGCAGAAGAGGAAGAGGTGGGCGAGGTGGTCTCCAAGACTGCTCCTAGGCAGGTCAGCACAAAGGGTGTGTCCTGGAGTCATGGATAGCAGAGTTAAAATTTTAGCTCCACCAGTTACCTCTCCAAATCCTAATTCTCTCTTCTGTGAAATCAGTGGATACCTCAGAAGATATTTAGACTAAATGAAATAAGAACATATAAAGATGTCAGAACAAAGTGTCATATAAAGCAGAGATGCAGCATAATGTTTGTTTCCTTTCCCTTTCTGTCTCCCATCCCTTCTGCCCAGCCTGTTTCTATTATTTTTCTTTCCTTCAAGAGAGGAAAGAGACGGAAAGTAAGTCAAAAGGAGTGACATATACAAAAAGATGAAGGTTAGTTCTTGAAAGGAGGGAACGCTCTTTGTGCTCACCTGTGTTTCCCAGAGCAAATTCTAAATCAATACAAGCCGGGGTGGGAACAGGTGGCCCACTACTGCCACAAGAGTTACTGCTTTCATGAGAGCCAGCCTGAACACGTAGTAGTCTTCTCTTACAGCAGTGA